CTCCACCGAAGACGATGCCTACAACTGCGGTACTCAGAACTGCATATGGTTTGGTCTTTCGCCAGGCAAATGTTCTCTCAAAATTCGCCTGTGGGAGGATATGCCCGACCTACCCCAGGATTGCGATCGGAGATCGCCCGCTCCCCCAGCGCATGGGGAAAAATCACGACGGGAGGCTTTCTGTAGTTTTCGGCCTTTGGGAGCCCCGCCAGGCCCCACGGCCGTCAGAAGATGACACAGGAAGAAACGCCAGGCCTGGGGACAGGCTCGGTATTTTCGTGGACCCCGTGCCGACGCAATCGGCTGCACCAGGTCATCAGAAGCCCCGACCATTTCCCAAGGGGGATATTTTCTATCCCGAGCTGTTTCTCTCGGCAAGGGAGCTAAACACCAGCCCCCAGATGCCGAAAACAGCGGCTGAGTTCCGCGTTCCCGGATGTCCTATAACGTGTTTTTTTTACGTTCGGCCTTTAGGTCCCGACCATTTCCTTGGGGCTATTTTTTTGCCCTGGATCCATTTTTGACTGTACCGGAGTATTCAAATGGACCCGGAGGCCTCAATCTGAGAAACATGCCACCATTGAATCAGTTTGGCGAAGGACCCAACCATAACGCAAGACATGTGGAAACTAAGGAAAGGGGACAGCAAAAGGACAAAGGCGTGCATGGGAAGGACAGAACGACGTTGCTGATGGTGTCGTAGAGGTCAGCCATGGATTACATTTGGATGTAAAAATTGTGCGTTTGTTGGGGCTTGCGGTGAAGCTCCCTATGGGGTCACGAAGCTTGTGAGGGGTGCGCCAGAATGGAGTGGACCAGGTATGCGAACCCGAACCCAGCCGTTGGGGCCTTAGATAGAGCTCTCTATGGGGCCAGGAAGCGTGTGAGGGGTTCGCCGGTAAGGTGTCGCCGAAATGGCGTGGACCAGGTATTCAAACCCAGCCGCTGGAGCCTTAGGAAGGAGGGGCCAGGAAGCGCGTGAGGGTTGCGCCGAAGTGGCGTTGACCAGGCATGCGGCCCCCTGTGGGGCCACGAAGCGTCTGAGGGGTGCGCCGAAATGGCGTCGACCAGGTATGTGGACCTAGACTTTTGGGCCTTGGGTGGAGCTTCCCATGGGGCCACGAAGCGTGTGAGCAGTGCACCGACATTGCGTGGACCAGGCATGCGGATTTAGATGTTTGGTCCTTAGGTGGAGCTCCCCAAAACAAAATGTGTGAGGGTGGCGCCGACGAAATGGACGTGCTGAGGGCAGAGGCAGGGATGAGGGAAAGGAAGGAGGAGGAGAGGAGAGGAGGGCGCGGGGAGCTGTCTTTTCAAAGCGAGGACCCAACACCAAAGGATGGTTTAGGAATCATATCGTCTGAGATTTGGGCCGATTTCTGCAAGACGCTGGACGTCCAAGTCTGGTCAATTAATTGTTTCATTCCCAGGTTTCCGACGACTTGATTTCTCCAATGCTCGCCCCAGACGTCCCGACCATTTCCTCAGGTCTATTTTTATGCTCTGGATTCATTTCTGATCGGACGGGGTACGAAAATTAGCCTGACGAAAGACCCAACCAAAGCAGTTGTGGATACCGCGTTCTGGGTCCATCGTTCGACGGGCCTCCCTATGGGGCCACGAAACCTGTGAGGGGTATGGCGAAATGAACGGGGAACCGCATGCGAACCCTGCCACTGGGGCATTTGGTGGAGCTCCCTCCCTATGGGGCCACGACACGTGTGAGGGGTGTGCCAAAATGGGCGGGGAACCGCATGCGAACCATGCCACTGGGGCCTTCGGTGGAGCTCCCTATTGGGCCACAGCACGTGTGAGGGGTGTGCCGAAATAGACGGGGAACCGCATGCGAACCCTGCCACTGGGGCCTTCGGTGGAGCTCCCTTTGGGGCCACGAAACGTGTGAGGAATTTGCCGAAGTGGGCGGGGAACCGCATGCGAACCCTGCCACTGGGGCCTTCGCAGGAGCTCCCAATGGGGCCACGAAACGTGTGAGGGGTGTGCCGAAATGGGCGGGGAACCGCATGCGAACCGTGCCACTGGGGCCCTCGGTGGAGCCCCCCAATGGGGCCACGACACGTGTGAGGGGTGCGCCGACATGGGCGGGGAACCGCATGCGAACCTTGCCACTGGGGCCTTCGGTGGAGCTCCCGATGGGGCCACAGAACGTGTGAGGGGTGCGCCGAAGTGGGCGGGGAACCGCATGCGAACCCTGCCACTGGGGCCTTCGGTGGAGCTCCCAATGGGGCCACGCAATGTGTGAGGGGTGCGCCGAAGTGGGCGGGGAATCGCATGCGAACCCTGCCCCTGGGGCCTTCGGTGGAGCTCCCAATGGGGCCACGCAACGTGTGAGGGGTGTGCCGAAATGGACGGGGAACCGCATGCGAACCCTGCCACTGGGGCCTTCTGTGGAGCTCCCGGTGGGGCCACGAAACGTGTGAGGGGTGTGCCGAAATAGACGGGGAACCGCATGCGAACCCTGCCACTGGGGCCCCTGGGGCCTTCGGTGGAGCTCCCAATGGGGCCACGCAACGTGTGAGGGGTGTGCCGAAATAGACGGGGAACCGCATGCGAACCCTGCCACTGGGGCCTTCGGTGGAGCTCCCTGTGGGGCCACGACACGTGTGAGGAATGTGCCGAAGTGGGCGGGGAACCGCATGCGAACCCCGGGGAACCGCATGCGATTTCTGCCACTGGGCCTTTGGTGGAGCTCTCTTTGGGGCCACGAAACGTGTGAGGGGTGTGCCGAAATGGGCGGGGAACCGCAAACGAACCCTGCCACTGGGGTCTTCGGTGGAGCTTCCTATTGGGCCACAGCACGTGTGAGGGGTGCGCCGAAGTGGGCGGGGAACCGCATGCGAACCCTGCCACTGGGGCCCTCGGTGGAGCCCCCCTATGGGGCCACGACACGTGTGAGGGGTGCGCCGACATGGGCGGGGAACCGCATGCGATTTCTGCCACTGGGGCCTTCTGTGGAGGTCCCTATGTGCCACGAAACGTGTGAGGAGTGTGCCGAAACGGGCGGCGGAAGCGCATGCGAACCCTGCCACTGGGGCCCTCGGTAGAGCCCCCCTATGGGGCCACGAAACGTGTGAGGGATGTGCCGAAGTGGGCGGGGAACCGCATGCGAACCCTGCCACTGAGGCATTTGGTGGAGCTCCCCATGGTGCCACGAATCGTGTGAGGGGTGCGCCGAAATGGGCGGGGTGGGATGAGGGAGGAGGAGGAGGAGGAGGGGAGGATGAGAGGAGAGGAGAGGAACGCGGGGACCGTCTCTTCAAAACGAGGACCCAACACCACAGGATGGTTGGGGAAAAAATGCCCAAGAGCCCCCCCTGTAGGAAAAGCACGTCCGCACCCAAACAACACATCTTCTGAGCTCCGAGAAACGCGATCTGAGTTGCTGTTCTCGAGACGCTGGAAGTTCGGGTCTGTTCTGCTCTAGCTCGCGAAGTGGATGATGTTCTTCTGTTTCCTGCGATCAGCGATCAGCGAGTGCTGGGAGGCTGACTCCGATTCACTCGTGTCGGTTGGCCTGCTCTCTTCTTGCCTGGCCCTGCCAGAGCCAGGCCCGCAGGCCACCACGCATCACGGCATGCTGGCGTCCCCCACCGCCGTCGGATGACGTGCATCTGGTGGAGCAGAGCTGTTGAGCTCAAAACTGATCCGGGCGAAGGATCAAACTCGGATTCGCAAAGGTGAAGCAAAGTTAGACTCCCTGGTGCCCCTCGTCGTGTCTCACTCTCGCGCGCGCTCGCCGCGTGTCTGCCGCTGTTTGGGGCTCACGGATTGGACCGTGTTTGCGCGGAACCAATGAAAAAGACGGAGGAAGGAGCAGGAGCTAACCATATGCAGTTGCGAGTACCATCCTTGCGGGTATCGGCTTCGGGGAATCTCCTCGTGGGGCCCGGGGCCATGAAGCATGCGAAGGGTGTGCCGATATGGGGCGGGGCCGCCATGTGGGCGCTGCCGCTGGGCTTCAGGTGGAAACCAATGTGGGGCCGCGAAATGTGTGAGGGGTGCCATGTGGGCGCTGCCGCTGGGCTTCAGGTGGAAACCAATGTGGGGCCGCGAAATGTGTGAGGGGTGCGCCGGCACTGGGGCCACGAAGCGCTGTACTGAACGGGACCTTTGGTGGAGCTCCCTATGAGGCCACGAAGCGCTGTGCTGAGCGGGGGCGACGCATGCGAACGACGCCGCTGAGGCCTTCGGTGGAGCTCCCTATGGGGCCACGAAGCGCTGTTCTGGGTGGGTGAACCGCATGCGGACACCGCTACTGAGGCCTTGAGTGGAGCTCCCTATGGGGCCATGAAGCTTGTACTGGGTGAGGGGACCGCATGCGGACAACACCACTGAGGCTTTCGGTGGAGCGCCCCATGGGGCCACGAAGCGCTGGACTGGTCTGGGGAACCGCATGCGGACGGCGCCACTGAGGCCTTCGGCGGAGCGCCCTATGAGGCCACTAAGCGCTGTACTGGGCGGGGGAACCGCATGCGGACGCCGCGGCCTTCGGTGGAGCTCCCTATGGGGCCACGTAGCGCAGTAGTGGGTGGGGGAACCGCATGCGGACAACGCCACTGAGGCCTTCGCTATGGGGCCACGAAGCGCTGTTTTGGGCGGGGGAACCGCATGCGGACGCCGCTACTGAGGCCTTCGGTGGAGCTCCCTATGGGCCCACGAAGCGCTGTATTGGGACGGGGAATCGCATGCGGACGCTGTCGCTGGGTCTTCGGATGAGCGCCCTATGGGGCCATGAATCGCTATACTGGGCTGGGGAACCGCATGCGGACGGCGCCACTGAGGCCTTCGGTGAAGCTCCCTATGGGGCCACGAAGTGAGGCCTTCGGTGGAGCTCCCTCCCTGCGGCGCCACGAAGCCTTGTACTGGGCGGGGGAACCGCATGCGGACGCCGCCACCGAGGCCTTCGGTCGAGCTCCCTGTGAGGCCTCGAAACGCTGCATTGGGTGGGGGACCCGCAGTCCGAGGTCGAGCCGACGACCTCCATGTACTGCACGCTGCTGAAGTGCCTGGGCGCCGAGGGGCGGCTCGAGGAGGCCAGGGGGGGAGGTCACGAGATATTTTGTCGTTCAGGTGTTGGTTTTTTGGTCTCGCGCCTTGGGGTTTGGTGATAGTGTAGCTACGAGACTAGCACTCACAGAGACGTATGGTGGTGGGGGGGGACCACGGAGGGCATGGAGTGCATGGGCGACGCGGTCAGGGCCAGCGGATTTTGGTGGGGGAGGAGGAGGGGGCAAAAAAAGGAGGGGGAGGGGGTCGCGCGCGCGACGCTCTTGGGGGTGCGCTCACGACGGGTGTATAGAGTGCGGCCGCGCAGCGGGGGAGCGCAGTGGTCCTCAGCAGGTTGGAGTAAAACCACCCCCCAAGCCTCTATTCACACTAGGCTGTGCCCCCCCCTCCCCTCCTCAATAAAGATCGCGTGGGTGTGGTGTGTGTGTGTCTCCATCACAGAGGGGTTTGCCTCGTTGGAAGACAACCGTTTTCAGACCCTGCAGCATGCCAAAATATTGTTTTCCGGATTCCAACGCCACGGATCAAGCTGAGTGTTGCGTCTAGACGATCCTGAATCTTGCCAGGACGCCATTCCTGGGACTTCAACACCTCGAATCATCGTAACTGTTGCGCCCTCATAGTCGCGAATCGTTCCGACAACACCATTTCTGATACGTCGATCATGGGAATCCGTGAAACACTTGCACTTTTAACGCGAATGTGCGCAGCGCAAAGGCGATAACCACATTTTGAACAAGAACCGCCCTCAATCCGTGAAGTTCCTTTGCAAATTCTGAGAACGAGTATGCGCGGCGCTAAGGCGAGAGCCACATTTTGAAAACCACCCGCCCTCAATCCGTGAAATTATTGCATTTATTATTAAGATAAGCGAATGTGCGCGGCGCTAAGGCGAGAGCGACAATTTAAAAACCACCCGCCTTCAATCCGTGAAACTCTTGCAACGTTTGTAAACGAATGCGCGCGGCGCTAAGGCGAGAGCTACGTATTGAAATGAAAACCACCCGCCCTCCATCTGTGAAGCTTTTGTCACTTTTCAAGCCTCAGGGTCATACGTGATGAGGAAGTCTCAGGCGAAACGCCCAGCCCGCCCTAAAAACTGGCTCCGGGGTGCGACAGGGAGAAGTTATTCACAAGGAAAAGAAATCGAGGAGGGGGTGGGGAGGGGGATGAGGAGGAGCAGGTGGAGGTCGAGTTAGAGGATGAGGAGTCAGGAGCGAAAGAAAGTCGTACACCAGTCGAGCCGAGGTACAAGGTCGAGGTCGGTTCAGGCGGGTGCCCTGGTGTTCTTCATGCTTGTGCATGCAGAGGGTCTACTGTTCTTGAAGGGTGTTCTTCTATCCTAGGTTTGATCGTACACGAATCCACGTTGGTTTCGAGAGTACGCGTGGCGCGAGCGTCCATACCACGAGGCTTGTCTCGCGGACGGGGGGCCATATTCATGTACGTGGTTGGGCGCGTACGTACTTGGTGGGCTCCCCAGGAGAAGCAGGAAGAGTTCGACGTTGTGCGTCGCCCCCCCAAGGGGCGACGCTCGCGCCGAGAAATCTTCTAGTATAAGCTCTGTGGCGGGCGCTTGTTGGCCATACCGCTCGGGAAACGATGTACTACAAGATGGTTATGCTATATGTTTGGGTCGGACACACGCCTCCAAGGAGGACACACAGTACTAGTATGTGCTCTTGCGTCCCAGGAGTGCCGGGCGTTACAATTTCGTCCAGTTTCGGGCCCTGGGACCCACAAATATCGATACAGCTTTTAAAATTATACATCAAGATGGGGTCTGGGGCTCCAGTCGTGATTTTTGGCGATGCTGTACCTGTTCTGCAACGTCGGATGTGGGGGAACGCAGGGACCATTTCGATCCGTCGATCCGATGGACCCGGTTCGGTATCGATTCGTGCCGGCCCGATCCGATTCGATCTCGACTTTCTGTTGATTTTATGAGTTCCGACGCTTGCACGGTGTTGCTTTACATCCTGGCGCAGCGGGGGTGGTGGATGTGGAGGGGGGTGATGGGGGTGGGGGGGGGGGGGGGGGGGAAGGGGGGGGGGTGGGTGGTGGGGGGGGTGGTGGGGCGCGGGAGCGGGGTTGGGGGGGCGGGGGTGGGGGGGTAGTGTGTGGGGGGGGGGGTGGGGGGGGTGGAGGGTGGGGATAGGAGGAGGCGGGGTGGGGGGGTGTGGGTGGCGGGGGACGGGGTTGAGGGTCGGGAGGGTCATTGGGCGCTTTTGGTGCTGGTTTACTTTTGTTTGTGATGAGTTGTTTTTTGGCTTTTTGTTTATTTTTATTTTTTTTTGTGTTTATAATTTTCTTTTTTTTTTTTTTAAATCCTGGCGCAGCGAACAGATCGGTTTCGACCCGTGCCGATGAGCCCCATCCGGACACCTTCCTCTCGGATCCAATTTCCCGACTCCCGATGTTGACTCTTTGGACGAAGGGTACAGAAAAAATGGGTACAATGCCAAAACAAACATTTGTGGTGTCCAAACCATCAGCTGGCCGCGGTTGGGCAATGCGGCCTTCTCGCCTCAAATGGACAGCACCCGCGGCGCGCGGAAGGAATCCTGTAGCAAAGATGGCAGGACTTGTTGTCGGTCGTGTACCTTTTCCTTCCGTAGGTAGGTTCGTTCGTGTCGACCGGCGGCGTACCCCGCCAGCCGCGTTCATTGTTGAACGCCGCGGGCGACCCAGAATCGTTCGATGTCGAACGATTTGGACGCTTCGGAAACGGCTGATCGTTCAAGGTTGAACGACCCCCCGCGGCGTCAGAAACCAACGCCGAAGTCGGCACGACACGAACCTGACGTACCCATTTCGATCGTCCCGATGACTGAACTTGCAGCGGGCCCAGCTGTCCAGCGTCTGAAGGGGGAGGGAGGGGGTTCGACCCCCCCCCCTCCCTTGACGGAGGGGGGGGGGGTCGAACCTCCGCCCCTCCTCCCCTACTTTTCCTCTCTCCCTCTCCTCGGGCTGGCGCCCCCGAATGTTCCCAAGACAAGCGCCTGTGAAACGCGCTCACTCGGACTTCGGGGACCCCACACTTGCACGAATCAAGGCTCGGGAGGATCGAAATGGGCAGGGAGAGAATGGGCACGATGCTCAACTGCAGTTTCTGTTTATCCTTTGAGCATGACTCGCTGTCCGCGCCGCCGCGGACGTAGTTTTTTGAACGCGAAAAGCCGCCTGCGCAACAGCGGCCGCAGTCGGTTTTGGACAACGTTTGTTGTCCGGCACTGCATCCACTGTATTCATACCCGTAAGGGCTTCGCCCCCTGTCGCTGGCCCCCTATCTCGGATAATGCGCTATGCAAGAGCTATGTCATGAGGCCTGGGCGCTGTCGTGAAGCAGCATCGGAGCTTCATGCGAGGCCGATTCGTAATGAGCAAAACCAATAAATGACTAGAGTAGTTACCACACCTGGCGATGGGTAAGGCGTCGTGACCCTGCCGATCTGCGAGAGGGGTGCCACCGAATTTCTAAAATGTAGCACGTCCCTAGTGTTTTTGGACCATGACCCTACGGATCCGCGTGAGGGGTGCCACCGAATTTCAGAAATGTTGAGAATCCCATAGGTTTTCGGACCCTGACCCCGCCGATCTGCGTGAGGGGTGCCATCGAATTTCAGAAATGTGGCAAATCCCATGTGTTGTTGGACCCTGACCCCGCCGATCTGCGTAAGGGGTGCCACCGAATTTCGGAAATGTGGCAAATCCCTTGTGTTTTTGGACCCTGACCCCGCCGATCTGCTTGAGGGGTGCCAGCAAATTTCAGAAGCGTGCCAAATCCCATGTGTTTTTGGACCCTGACCCCGCCGATCTTCGTGAGTGGTGACAATTTTTACCCACTCCAGCAATTCAGACACCACGCTCAGGGCGTGCTAAACCTGCCCGTTTGGGCATCCCCCTCCTCGCGCGGTCCATCAACAAGGAACAGTAAGCAGCAACAAGCAGAACTGTAACAGTGGAAACTGGAAGCTGCAACTGGTACAGGAAACTGCGAACCTTCGGCCTACAGCCTGGTGGCCCCACAAGGGGGCCGGCGGATTCATTTCGGGCGTCCGAAAAGGCATCGTGTGTGTGGGTGTGGCGGGGTGGGTCAGGAGCGAAACATGGGCTTACACGTACACGAATCCACGGTGGTTTCGAGAGTACGTTTTGCGCGAGCGTTCGTATCACGAGGCTGGTCTCGCGGACCAGGGGGTCGCATTCATGTACGTGGTTGAGCGCGTGCGTCTTGTGTGGGCTCCCTAGTTTGGGGGCAGAAATTCGCACCTTTTCAAAAGCTCTTTGGGCCGCGGTGGCAGACTTGGCGCCTTGGCATCGCTCGGTTCGTGCTCCTTTTTCTCGGCAAGGCCAGCGCCAGCAGATCCGGACCATTTGGAAGCATTTGGGACCATCCAAAGACAACAGAATTCGGCGGGGAGCGAGGGGGGGGAAGTGAGAAGGAGAAGGCCTCCTCAGAAGGCGGCGAGACTTCTCAGAAGCCCTCGCGCCTTCGGAGAAGTTCTTTGTGTCTTCGACGAAGGCTCAGGAAACCTCTCAGAAGGCCTGGGAACTTCCAGGCCTTCTGTGAAGGCCTCCTCCTTCTCACTTCCCCCCCTTGCCCGCGCCGAAACATGGAGACACGAAGCCAAGCAGTGCACGGGGATTAGACGTCCCAGCGATGGCGAGGCGCCCTTCAGGGCCACTTTCCTGTATGCCCAGGGGCCCTTGCGGGCCGACGTTTGCGGGCAGGAAGTGCAGCGCAGGAGGGGAGGGCTCGGATAGGCCCGTGGCAGGCCCCTCTGGACCGGCAGGGGATCCATCCGGGCCGAGGGCCTGGCCAGGGCGCACCTCTTGGGGGGGAGGGCCCGTGGACCAGGCATCGAGCGGCTGTTGGTCGGAAGCAGCGGCAGAGGAGGAGGAGGAGGAGGAGGAGGAGGAGGAGGAGGAGGAGGAGGAGGAGGAGGCGGAGGCGGAGGAGGAGGAGGAGGAGGAGGGAGAGGAGGAGGTGGAGGAGAGGAGGAGGGGGAAACGGATTTACTCGGAGAAATCCGTGCGGGCGCCAAAAAGTTTATGTTTGAATGTTTTCTCTTCTTTAAGGGTGGAGGAAGAGGAGGAGGAGGAGGAGGAGGAGGAGGAAGGAGGAGGAGGAGGTAGGAGGAGGAGGAGAGGAGAAGGGGAGGACAAGGGGATGATGATCCCCCTCCTCCCCCTGCTCCTCCTCCTCCGCCTCCTCCTCGGGTTGGACACCTACCCCAGAGGCCGACACCGGCAAAACCTCGCGCGGATGTCTGGGTCCTGGGTGCTTTGGGTCCTCGCCCGCTCTCCTCCTGCCTGAGAGGCTCCGTCATCCCCAATGGCCCCTGGCCCGCCCTGGGCCGCGCTCCGGCCAGAATCTTCTGGGGGGTCCAACTGCGACGGCGAGAGGCCTCCCCGAGGCCCAAGCACGATCTCAACGCCTCGAGCCTGGACACTCTTGACGCTCCGCGCATCCCCACAATCCCATCCAGATACAATCGGAGGCTTTCTTGAGGCCTCTTCTGGGCTGTCTTGAGCCACGCTCGGCCAGAGGCGGTCGGAGGCTAGCTGGAGCCACGCTCAGCTGTCTCGCGCCTTCAGGAACCTCGAACCTCGAAGTTCGACCCTCGAGGGTCAACCCTCGCGCCCCTCGTCCCTGTCGCTTGGGTGTCTAGCCGCGGAGCGGCGCACCCTCACGCCGCAGGCGTCCTCAACGCATTCCTCGACGTGTGCGTGACCTGCAACGACGCGCGGGCAGCCGAGCGCGTGTTCGCGCAGGCGCGGGGCGACGAGGCGGCGGTCGGGCTCGCGTTCGGGGACGGGCCGGCGGGCAGCAGCGCACTGATCGGGTGTTGCCAGAAGTGCTCCTGGCCTCAAGATGTTCTACCCTGCTCCTCCTCTCTTCCTCCTCCTCCTCCTCCTCCTCCTCCTCCTCCTCCTCCTCCTCCTCCTCCTCCTCCTCCTCCCTTCCTCCTCGCTCCTCGCTCCCCTCACGTCCTATGTTTTAATGTTCTAGATACGGGGCCCTCAGGAGGCCCGACCCTTCCGCCCAGGGCCCCTCGTTCCATCCCTTCCTGATGGCCCGGGGGCCCTGCGAGGACCTGCAGGACCCTTCCCTCCTCGCTCCCCTCACCCCGTCCTCCCCCTCCCACACGTCTCGATGTTTTGATCTTCTCCATACGGGGCCTTCAGAAGGCCCGACCATTCCGCCCATGGTTTACGATGTTCCAATCTATTTAGCCTTGATCACCAGGAAGAATTTCGAGCACCAAGAAAGTACCGAAACTGGGGGGTTATCACGCGTCGGGCCCTGGGAGTCGATACTCGTTCGACACTGTTTCGATGCTTTTCTGGGTGCTCGAAATTATTTCTGGGATGTGGTCCTTGAGTGCGATGGGAGCAGCATAATCCTGGTCCAAGGTGTCCCCAGGATTTCCAAGGAGGCCCCCAAGGCCTCCAGAGCACCCCTCACGAGGCCCAGAGGGCCCCAGGGGGCTCCAAGATGGAGCGAAAAGCTAGGGGCACCTTTGGCCAGGGGCACTACGAGCAACACCTTGGGCAACATCCGAACTGAGGAGGGGAGGGGAGGAGCAATGACGGAGCAGAGGCAACGACAAGGGAGTTGTCTCGAGATGTCGAGCTTCGAGGTTTGAGGTTTTCGGACGCTTCGTCGGTGCCCGAGGCTTCCCGCCTCGGGATGCCTGCCAGCGACTGGGCGTCGCTGAGTGCGGTCTGAGGTCTCCTGGATCGTCCCGAGCGGCCGCTGGAGGCCCGAGACATCGGGGGAAAGCGAGGACCTGGAGTCGGCGATGCGTCGCCGATAGATGGGCAACAGGATTCCAATGGCGAAGCCGCTCTGTTCTGGGCGGGGCTGGCCAGTGGACCCCTATCGGCGAGGAATGGGCGATGGGGGGTCGATGCGTTCCCCCCTGCCCCCGCAAGTTGTCCCTGGAGCCCGTTCGGAAAACCTCCTGGCGATCACGGGCGTGACCGGCCCCGCCCCCCCCCCTTTCCCTCACGTTACGGCGGTCGTCGGGTGGCGACCGCGGATATGTCCTGTGGCGCTCGCAGGCTACTGTGGTGTGCAGAGGCACGCTGTGGTATTCGCGAGGGGAAGCGGTTGCGTGCGTGCCGCGTGGTGCTCTCAGGGACGCAGTGTTGTTCTGTTTCTGAGAGGCATTGGTGCGTCGGTCGTAGCGCGGCGCTCGTAGCTGCCAGCGCTGTGGTGTATACAGGCACTGGAGCTCCTCCTCCTCCTCCTCCTCCTCTTCGTCCAGCCTTTCTGATTAGAGTTTATTTGTATCCGGTATCGATTCGTTGACTTTTTGGCCTCCGGGCGCCCTGGGCCCTTCCAGGAGCTTCTTGAGGCCTGGAACGGAACGATTCGAGTTCCTTTTGTATCCGGTATTGATTCGCTGATTTTTTGGCCTCCGGGCGGACCTTAAGAAATCCGCCGCAAAAAGACTCCGATTGAAATCCTCCACGGGAGGATCCCCATTGATATCCTCCGCAGAAGGATTCCGATTGAAATCCTCGCAGGAGGAGGAAGGAGGAGGAGGAGGAGGAGGAGGAGGAGGAGGAGGACAGGGGGGGACGAGGAGGGGGGAAGGAGGAGGAGGAGGAGGAGGAGGAGGAGGAGGAGGAGGAGGAGGAGGAGGAGGAAGAGGAGAGGAGGAGGAGGAGGAGGAGAAAGAGGACGAGGAGGAGGAGGAGGAGGACGAGGAGGACGAGGAGGACGAGGAGGACGAGGAGGGGGAGCCTGGAACGCAACGAGGACTGTTTATTTGTAGCCGGTATCGAGTGCCTCAGGGCGCCCCTGGTCCCTCCGGGGGCCCAGAACGGAACGATCGGAGTTTATTTGTACCCGGTATCGATTCGTGGACTTTGTGGCCTCCGGGCGCCCTGGGCCCCTCCTGGGGCCCTCGTGGGGCCTGCAACAGATCAATTAGCAGTAGTAGTAGTAGTAGTCGTAGTAGTAGTAGTAGTAGTAGTAGTAGTAGTAGTAGTAGTAGTAGTAGTAGTAGTAGTAGTAGTAGTAGTAGTAGTAGTAGTAGTAGTAGTAGTAGTAGTAGTAGTAGTAGTAGTAGTAGTAGTAGTAGTAGTAGTAGTAGTAGTAGTAGTAGTAGTAGTAGTCGTAGTAGTAGTAGTAGTAGTAGTAGTAGTAGTAGTA